AGCCAAAGGGGCTACAGCACATCATGCCCAGTATATAAACTGGGAGGAGTTACCTGGAAGGGAGATCATTCTCAAGGATGGAATGGGCATCTGTCAGTAGGGGGTGAGGAATTGTACTGTGCATCACTTGTGTTTATTGGGTTTTATTCCTCTTTCATTCTCTCCTTTTCATTATCATTTCCATTATTAAACTATTCTTATCTCAACCCATGAATTTTACCTTTTTCTGATTCTCCTCCCCATCCCACCAGGGGAAGATGGGAATGAGTGAGCAGCTGTGTGGTCCTTAGATGCCAGCTGGGGTTAAACTACAGCAGATCCAAAAAACATTGATGCTAATAGTTACATAATTACCTCACGGCACACACACAATTACCAAAGATAGCACCTGGGACAGCCACCCCATATGTAACTCTAATACGAACCACATGCTGATGTCTCAAAAATGCATGAATCCTGATCAACATATTGTCCTTTCCCCTATATCTAATCATCAGCTGCTTCTCTTTGAAGCACAACAAAACCTTATCATGACTTGAGTATATTACTCACTGCCAGTGGGCATGGCTACAGCTTTGATAAGCTATTTAGCATACCAGTTCTTTGGAAGAATACATGGTGGAAGAATACATGGATGGCACCATACAAAACCAGGTAAATTTTTTGTTCTAAATTGTCCTCATTAATTACCCTATTATGCCAGTCAGACTTGCTGTCTTACTATCCAGATCTAGGAAGACATCTGGACTTGTACCTTGTTCTGTTAGTACATTCCCAGTATCTCACAAAGTCCAACTGTTCCTCATTCCTACTACAACATTTCAAACTCTCAGGTCAGTAACTGGTAAAGATACAGAAAGTGTTCTTACTATCAAAAATAATTTTACATATGATCTCTTTTGGACACAGAAGCTGTAAGAATTAGGACCTAAACTAAAACACATTACTCTATATGCTGCAGCAACATCAGTTATCACTATGATCTTCTGCATCAATCTCACACTTTGCATTTTTACTTTCATGGCTTTCCACATCCATTAAACAATTTTCTTCTGTTAAGTTCCTAGATTTCCTTCACTTGTCCACCCTTTAGTCTTATTCAAATTTAGAATTTGCTTCAGTAACATCTCCTGGGCTTGAAAATCCTTTGCATTCAATTTCATGAATCAAGTCTAATTAATTTATTTTTGAACTTCTCTCCAGCATTCAATACTTTTGCTGAGACTTTTAGTAAATCATAAAGTGAAAAAAATATAAAGGATCTGCTCTTCCCAAGTATTTAAGTTCCAGCTGCCTACAACCTACAGTGATTCTTTGAGAAAGATCACAAATGCATTTCCCGTTAGTCTCTCTTCTTCTGGAAAGCTTACTATGCTAATAGCCAGCACAAAATCCTTAATGTTCTCTAATGTTAGCCAAGGAAATTCCTTGCAGAACACATACTAGGGAGTTTTACACTTTCTTTATGCTTACTTCTTTTGCCACTGAAGTTTGCAGCAGTAATTGCTAGAAAGCATAGCTATGTAAGCAGAGTACTAAACTGCCAAAATCAGGCTCAGATAAGATAAACATGATTTTAGACAGATGGATAGCACGTTCATGGGTTCTAGTTATTATTCTTATCCCACAGTGCCAGGCTCCATGATATTTCATGATATTTTAGCATTAGTACCCTTTTAGAACTGAAACAACTGATCACTGAATTTGAAAGGGGGGTGGGTTTTTTTCTGCTGTCTTGAATTGAAATAAACCAGTCTTTCCTGACAACACACATACACAGGCTACTCATAGATATGGACCAGTGGTTCTAAGCCACCATGTCACTTGCAGAAAACCTACAGCTTACCTCCAATTCCAATTTCTTCAGCATCCCGCTAAAGCTACTAAACTATCAAAGCCAAACTAACCAGTAGAAAATGTCTATAAAATGTCTATCTCAGTAGAAAATGTCTATAAAATAGCCAAAGAATTTGGATGATCCGTCATCCAGTACTCCCTGCAAGTCTCAGTATCTTTTCCACTTCAATTCCTCTGATCTGTTCCCCACCTTCCTACTCGCATTTTTTTCTCATTTCTCTTTGCTCCTTCCAAGACAAAACAAGACAGGCCAATTAGAAGGATGCTCCTGCCTTAAACCTCCTAACAGTACCGTTGAACAAGACACTGATCTATTTAAGTATTATTAACTTCACTATTCCACACAGGGAGCTTTATAGAATGGTGCAGCTTTTTTTTTTTTCTCCTTTTGTTCCAACGTGAAAGTCCAAAATAACTTCATTACCAGACCAAAATAAATCTACTCAAACAAAACAGAACTACGTATCATTCAATTCCAGGAGGTAAGGCACACACTTACTTGGCAGGTATCTCACAAATCATCTAGCTCCATTTAAAACAAACCAAACCAAACTCCAAACCAAAAAAAAGGTCAGCAAGTGTGCTGGTCTGCCTTCAACTGCTGCAGAAAGTATGCAGAGTTCAGCCAGGGAATTTAGCTGAAGAACAGACATGCTTTCTGAATGGCAAGCATGCTGGTTTTTGTTAGGGAGAGAGAGAAACAAACATGGAAGGGTAAACAGAAGTCTGAGGAGGGAACATCAGGAAACACAAATGCTTTGAAGAACCTCCCTGACGTTTGCTTACACAATGGATGATTCCACAACAGCTGCTGAAATACGTGGAATTTCTCTGTATTTGCCTCCAGCAGATCAAGATCCAAAAGGTAAACAAAAAAGACATTTCCCTCAATTCCAAGGAAGCGCCTGATTTACCCTGACATCACTGACTGAGTTTGGCACATACACCAACTTTTGACATGCTATGACCCACTGGAGTCCATCCAGTTGTACATGATTATGATCAACATATATTATTATGATCAAGAATATAAAGAACCCTTCTTGAATTTTCAGTTGCTTATCCAAGTCTCAAAGGCATCAACTGCCCACGTAACTTTCGCTGAAAGTAGGAAAAAAAAAACCCAAACAAACCACCTCACAACCCAACTTTGTGATTAAACGCAGGAAAAATAATTGTACTTCCATCATCCTTCCCCAGAGAAACATCTTAGAGGACTTGTTACATAACTGAGCAGAGGTTATGGCACAGGCCCAAAAAAAAGTTCAGGACTGCTGCTGCATAACAAAGTTATTTTTTATCTTTTTTTTTCTTCCTGATTTTAAAGTCTCTAAAAAAGTTCTGATCAAATTTTCAATACAAGATGGACTATTAATTTTCTCAGCCTTACTGTTAGAGTATTGAGAGAACTTGTGTAAATCTCACAACCACCTCCAAAACTCAGATGTTTTCCTGCAAAATCCAGGAGGAAAAACAAACAAAACCAAAACAAGCAAACCAAACCCCAAATAAAACAAGGAAAAAACCCCACAACAAACCAAAACACACACAAATGCAAAAAGCTGTCCTACATTAAGAGAACACTGCTTGTACTTCTGGCAACTCCCAAATAAGATTCAATTTCTGGTAGGGTCTATCATTTCTCACAAATCCAGCTGTAAAGCTCCTTATAAGCTGAATGCAGATTAATGATTTTTAGACGTAAGTTAATTCCTCTTCCTCAGAGATTATGACAAAATTTATGCCCTTAATCATCAGTGAGCTTGTATCACAAACCTGACTAGGTGCTGTCACCTGTTCCTGAGTGACATACTCATTTATAGATGTAAGCACAAATTCCAGTTAAGCTTTGAGAGAAGCAGAGTACATAATAGATGACCTGTAAGAAGCTGCCCCCAAGACAAATGGATCTGGAGCCAGTGGTACAGGTCTCAAGCAGAAAACTAAAAAGAGGCATTTTCAAAATAAAAGGAGACCACCATCCAAATGTTGGAGGAAGAGTTGAAATGCAAGCCACGTTGACATAGCAACCCTGTGTACTATTATTATGAAGAATGCAGCAACATTTAAAGAAGCTGATTTACAGTAAGTTCCTAGAGTTCAATAAAAAGTTTATGAGTAAAGAAATACTTGACATACTCTGTTACTAGCTAAAAATGAAGACATGCAATATTTTGTTACCAGAAATAGCTAAACTGTGATACTATAGAGACGTGATTTATTCATTTGGTACTGCTTCCACATTAGCACTCTTCTCCCAAAAAACCATCATGAGGAAAAACCCAGTATTACTATTCTTCCAGATAAGCAGGTTCTGGTTTTATGAGATGGCTATTATTTGACTACAAAAGGAACAATAAGCTACCTACATAAGAAAAGCAAGAAACCACTACAACATACCATCTTCCTCAGTTAGAAGTCTGAGCCTCTATTTAGTGCTATGCTTTGTCAGTGATGAGATTTAAAAAAAAAAAAAAAAAAGGCCGATTTAACTAGAGGATTCCATTTTACACTGGGATCCCTTAATACAGTGTTGCTCAGGTTTCTGTTTCAAAAAGCGCTTTAAGTGCCCTGTCCTAAGTATAGGAACTTCCACTCTTATGCCCACCCCTTACTTACAGTATCAACAATACCAAGCAATATAATCTTGTATCAACAATTAAAAATAGTTCAGAGTAAGAAAACCACTTCTTCACATGTGCTTTCATCAATTTTAACTGGTTTTTTAGAGTAGCTACCCCATGTGATGACTAAGCACTTGAAGTATTTTTCTGCTTATAAACAGCAAAAAGGCCACACAGCAAGCAGTCAAGGCTACTCATACACATCCAAAAGGTGTTGATTACATGTTAATGAACTTACCTGATTTGATTTCTCAACTGTGCTACTGGGAACCTCTGTGGTATCCTTCACAAAAAAGTTATCTATGATGTGTCTCTCTGCACATTCCTGACCACAAATTGGACAGCGGATAACACCAACTGGGGAAAAAAAATAAAAACTGATTATGGTTGTGCAACTTAAGACAACTTAAGATATATCAAACAACTTCAAAGACAGCTTGTAAGGATAAATCTTTAAAAGGATGTTTTAATACCTTCTTGTGAATAAGATGTGAGTAAAAGCAGCTAATTCACATTTATCACTGAAGTAACCTTTACATGTTATTCCCTCATGGTGTGTTCTTTCAACCAAGGTCAAGCACCTTTTTGTTTCTTTCCTATAAAGTACTTGCCATAATCTTACAGAACATTAATTCCTTTTCTCTAAAGGGAAACTATTCCGTTTGAAAATTTGTTACAGAATTGATTAAAGTAAACACATATTAGTGTGGAGTATTAGTGACACTATTACATACACACCAGCAGTGTGAAATGACTGACTTCCAACTACATAATATGAGGAAATGAAATGTAAGAAATTTTATTTTCATTATTATTTCAATTTCATAATAAATGAGGCAAGTTCTATAGAGGAAGAACAGACCTGTATTAACATTGTGAGTATCTTTATACTAAGCAAGGGAAAACAAGCACAACAGACATAAGAATAAGCAAACACAGTCATCTCCCTCCACTCCTCTGCAAGACACACTGGGGAATAATTCTAAGACAATAACATTAGACTCCAGGTTGAAGAAAGACCTGAGAACCAGTCATCATCATCATGGCTTGACTTCACAAACAAAGATTTGGGAAGGGCTTTAGCCATGCTTACTACAAACACGCTGATGACTGAAAAGGCCAATGTGAGATAGGCAAATCCGGCTGCAAAAAGCACAACAAAAGGTCTCCTTGGGTGGTATAGGCGGGGCGCGATTCTTTCTACTTTGCCTTTTCTCCTCGAGACTAGTTCTGCGTGAGTTCTCAAAGGAGTCAGTGGCACTATGTATGGTGCGTCTCCAAGTCTCCCAATTGGAGGCCAAGGCGGACCACTGATGGTAGTCAATATGGCCAAGGCTAAGGTACTGTTTCAGGGAGTCGTTATATCTCTTCTTTGGGGCACTTCTCTTGCGGCAACCGGTGGCAAGTTCACCTTAAAATGTTATCTTAGGGAGGTGGTGATCCTTCATCCTAGAGACGTGCCCTGCCCAATGCAGCTGCAATTTCAGCAATATGGCCTCAATACTGGTGACTCCTGCCTGTTCGAGGTCAGTAACATTTGACACACAGTCAGTCCAATGGATGTTTAGAATTGTACGGAGGCAACGCTGATGAAAGCGTTCAAGGAGTCGCAGGTGATGACAGTAGATGAACCATGATTCAGACCCATATAAAAGAGTAGACAGCACAATGGCTCTATAGACACTAATCTTTGTACCTTTCTTCAGGTGTTTATTGCACCAGACTCTTTTATGGAGTTTTCCGAAGGCTCTATGTGCCTTTGCTATTCTGTTGTCTATCTCTTTGTCGATCGTGGTATTTGAGGAAATAATGCTTTCCAGAGAGCTGAACTGCTGAACTGACTTAAGCTCTGACTTGCCAATGGTAATGTGGGGATGATGGTAATCTTCTTGTGGTGCAGGTTGGTAGAGAACTACTGTCTTCTTCAAGCTGACTTCCAGTCCAAAAAGCTCAGCCGCCTCTGCAAAGCAAGATGTTAAACGCTGCAGATCTGCTTCTGTGTGGGCGACAAGGGCGGCATCGTCAGCAAAATGCAGTTCACGGACCAGATGATTTACGGTCTTAGTGTGGGCCTTCAGTCGCCTTAGATTGAATAGGCTACCATCAGTACGATATCGAATATAAATGCCGTTTTGTCCATCGAGGTCTACCGTAGCCCTCTGGAGCATCAGGCTGAGGAAGACTGTGAATAAAGTTGGTGAGAGAACGCAACCTTGTTTCACACCTTTGGTTATTGGGAAGGGCTCAGAGAGTGCATCGCCATATCTGACTTGCCCTTGCTGATCCTCATGCAACAGAATAATTATTTTGAAGAACTTGGGGGACAACTTAATCAGCCAAAATTCCAAGATCAGCCACAGGCCTTCTCTGCTCATAGTGTCAAATGCTTTGGTGAGGTCAACGGAAGTTACATAGAGCCCCTTATTCTGTTCTCTGCACTTTTCTTGCAGTTGTCTGAACAAATACCATGTCTGTGGTACTTCTATTAGCTCTGAAACCACACTGACTTTCAGGTAGAAGTTCTTCTGCGATAGCGGGTACTAGTCTGTTCGACAGTAATCTTGCACAAATTTTTCCAGCAATGGAGAGCAGAGTTATACCTCGGTAGCTTGAGCAGTCTGACTTTACACCTTTTTTCTTATACAGAGTGATGATGATTGCATCAGGAAAATCTGATGGTAATTTACCTTGGTCCCAACAGCACACAACTAGCTCGTGAAATTTAGCATTAAATGCTTGGCCTCCATGCTTCCAGACTTCAGGTGGGATTCTGTCAACCCCAGCTGCCTTGCCAGTTTTCACCTGCTGTAGAGCCTTAAGAGTCTCTCCCATAGTAGGGGCTAAATCCAATTCATTTTTCAGCGGTTGTTGTAGAATGTGCTGGATTCCTTTGCCTTGGACTACACGGTTAGCACTAAAGAGTGTTTGAAAATGTTCAGACCAACGATTCAGGATGGAGATTTTATCTGTAAGAAGCATTTGGCCATCTGCACTAAGTAAGGGGCTTTGAACCTGAAATGTTGGTCCATACACTGCTTTCAGAGCCTCATAGAATCCTCTGTGGTCACCCAAATCTGCACATAATTGAGTCTTTTCTGCTAGGTTGAGCCACCACTTGTTCTGGATGTTTTCAAGTTTCTGTTGGAGTTTGCTACAAACAAGACAAAAGGCTGCTTTTCTTACATGGCAAAGTGGCTGAGTGAGGTGTGCTTGATGAGCAGATCTCGTCAGCAATTCCTGGACCTCCTGGGTGCTATCGTCAAACCAGTCTTTGTTTTGTTTTTTTTTTTTTTAAAGAGAACCCAATGGATTCTACAGAGGACTGCAGGATGCTATTTTTAGTATGTTGCCAAAGCGCTTCAGGATCTATAAGCTGATCTTCAAGCCTAGTTTGAAGGTTAGCCTGAAAGCTGTCCCTCACTGCAGCTATTTGGAGATTATTAACATTGAGCCTCTTCCACGGAATGCTGCCCCTCTTAGGTTTGGGCTCGAAGTGGAAGTTAAGTTTGCAATGCACAAGGTGGTGGTCTGTTTGACATTCTGCACTAGGCATCACTCGGGTGTGACATCACTCGATGTAATGCAAAGGCTTAAACAATGAATAATTTTCTCAAGAGAATAAAAAGGACAAAGTCAAGGTCAAAACTTGGGGTTTAACAATGAGTAGAACAGACTGAAATGGAAAAGATCTATACAAACATTTTAAAGTAGACACTTTTCCTAGCAGCAGAAAACAGAACGTCTTATTAGCACTGAGGCTTGTTAATCATCCAAGGAAAATCTCTATGCATTAACATCTTGCTTTAAGAGAATTATCACAGTCATTAACTCCCAAAAAAAGCTAATTGAAACTAAGTTAGGTTAAAATAATCACTTAAGAGGTGGAAGTCACCATGCAAAGCTAACAGTAGAATAGTCACGAGTCTAGAGATTGATTCTAGACATACAGCTGCCATTTGAGAGAAGGCACAATCGTAGGGCCTTAAAGGAAATCAGAAGCACCGTTTAACTCAGGGAATTTAACACTAGTATATAATTCATCACTTGCATATTTAACTAAACCTGAATGGGCTTAATTCTGTTCCTGCTTCACTTTTATAATAAAATGTAGAAGAAAGAAACTACTCAAACATTTTGTTTTCTGCAGAACTTAATTCCTTACTCTAAGTGCATCATACAAGATTTAAGTAACTTTTTCATTACGTTCTTCCAACGCATGCTAGAGATTTAACTGGCCAACCCACTAGAAAGCAATTCTCTAATAAAAGTCCACCAGTTTTACTAAATTAGGTCTTCACTCTGAAAATTTAGCTGGTAGTTTTCATCACTTGCATACAAGAAGGTATTTTATCTGAAGGCTACGATGTTAAGCCTGCTTTCATTATAATTGCTGTTTTGCAAGTCTGCATTTCAATACATATTTGTGTAGCTTCCTTTGATAGAAAGTCTGTAGTTTTGGTTAAAACCCTTGTAAAATTTTTATACCATCATCATGAAGGATAATTAAGAAGTCCAATTCTGGTGTATCAGGTAGTAGAACTCCAATGACGGTATTCCTCCTTTTATTAAGCAAATCAATTTACCACAGTCAACAGTGAACAAACCTCTTAATATTCAAGATACATGCTTGCTGAAAAAGACTATTTTTTATATTTTTCAATAGTGCCTATCACAAATTGCCCTCTGTTCCTCCACTGCTTATTCCTGACCCTGACAAAGCACAGTGCTCTGTGTCAGCGTAAGTGACTGGGCCAGTCTTTGCTTGTGTTTGGGAGCTGGATATAGAGAAAGAATGAGACAGGCAAACTGATTCAAACATGGATGTATTTCTCCAGCTCTCCCAAGCATCACCTTCAGTCCCCAGTCTGCTTCACTGACCAAATGCACTGCTGTTTACACTGAAGCAACATGAGAAGCAGGATGAGGATGGGAAAAAGCCAACACTGCCACTGAAGATTAAACATGGAACCACTGAAACAGATTAGTTCTATTAAGCTGATGTCATGGTTTAACCACTGCTTATAAATCAGCTCAAATTGAAAACATGGTGAGCAAGGAAGGGGCAGGGTACAAGTTAGGAAAAGTGTTAATGTAAATCAAATGTTTAATCTGCATGCTCACCAACAGAATACTGCCAACTACGTGTTCAATAGATGACAAATTCTAGACTGAGATGAGAGAAGGAGAAAAGGAAAACTGCCCAAATCTCTCAAATCCTCTTGAAACTTTTTCTAGAATTCCTTACGCTGTCTACCCTTAAGTCAAGGTTTTATTCTGCAACTGTGTGTGGGTAAATTTGCTTTTGTTCTGATCCTGGATTGATGACTGCTACACAAATCAGTTTTAAACTAGGTTTAGTCAACCTCAGCATCATGGGTTTAAGTGAAAATACCTAGTATCATGATCTCAGTGTGTTACAGCCAGCTTACATTGCTAGGCACACAGCTGGCAACAAAGGCCTTTTTGGCACAAAATGTAAAATGCAAATTTGTCAGGCAGTATTTCTTTCAGGTCCTTATCTACCGTTTCTAATGTATCCAAGGCTTTTTCAGTAACGTACTGAAGAATATAAACCATGTGTGGTCTTTTCCTCTCCACTCTCCACATCAGAAATGGAAGGTACAAGCAGGGTGCTCTGTACACATGCTTTCATGCATGGTGCTTTTGAGACAGAAAGGCTCATGGCAAGCAACAGTGCCTAACAAACTCATGCAGATTTGTTTCAGAACTTCAGTCTAGCCACCTAGAGACACTGGAATTTCTATCCATGCTCCTTATCAGTAAACAAATAGTACAATGAAGTGTGCTGCGTGATCGCCACAGTCCTGCAGAACATGGTGAGGAGCTGGCAGCTCACCAGAACCCATGTAACTAAGAGAGACACTAAGTTACTGGGAAAGAAAACTATGGTTTACAATGAACCCTGAATTGAGAACTTAGAAAACTGGAGATGAAAGACAATGACTATTCTGGAATTAAGTGGAAAACTTGAGTAAATATGAAAACAATACATTTAAAGGTTAAAAAGGAACACCGATTACATTCAAGGAAAGACACATGCTCTAAGTTATCAGAACTCATAGACAAACATATCTCCGTTTTAACATCAGCATTTTACTGACTTTGTCAGCATTACCGGTCATAATCAAGTACTAAAGCTTTTTTCGCAAATCATAATTTTCAAGTGAATTCTTACTTTGCAATAATAGTTGCAGAATTCAGTTTTTTGTACAAAATGATAAAACTACATATAGGACAAGCAAAGTTTTCAGCCATGCATCCAATACAAAAAGTACAGGTGTCAACTATCACAGATCTGATGGCATTTGCTTACAGCTGAAAACGCATCAGCACAACCCTAAGAGCACACACCTGTAAACACCAAGCTGCAGAGATTTATAAACAAGAAATATTAGGAAAAGGAAAGTTACTGGATTTGTTCAGTTTCTGAGGATGACGCATAACAGTCAGGTTTTTTCATGTGCAGAGTCCTCTTTCAGAATAATGTTTGGGCAAGCAACACAGTGCATTGCGTTCATATATCCATGGTTTGGTAACAGGGGCAAGAGGGAGCTGCAGGGGTGTACTCTGGGAGAAGACGCTGAGGCAGCCCCCATGTCAGATAGAGCCAATTCCAGCTGGCTCTGAGATGGACCCACCATTGGCCAAAGCTGAATTCGTCAGCAACACTGGTGGCACCTCTGTGTGGGTGATTAAGGGTAAAAAACTGCAACAGCACTGGGAGAGTTAGAAGGAACTGAAAGAAACAGCCCTGCAGAGATCAGGTCAGTGCAGAAGGTGGGGAGAAGGTGCTTCAGGTGCCAGAGATTCCCCTGCAGCCTAATGAGCAGACCATGGTGAGGCAGGCTGTGTCTCCTGTGGAGGTCCCCAGGCTGCAGGAGGTGGATATATGCTGAAGGAGGCTGCAGTCTGTGGAAAGCTCATGCCAGAGGAGGTTTTGTGGCAGGAACTTGCAGCATACAGTGGACCCACACTAGAGCAGCCTGCTCCTGAAGGACTGTACCCCACGGAGAGGACCCATGCTGGAGAAGGTCTTGAAGGACAGTATTCTGTGAAGAGACCCCACACTGGAGACAGGAACAAGTGGGTGGAGGATGAAGTGGCAGAGAAGAATTGCAATGAACTGACCACAACCCCCATTTCCCATCCCCACTCTACCACTTGAGGAGGTAAATTTGGGAATGAAAGAGTGAAGAGACGTGTGAGGGGCAAGGCAATCGGGTTTTTAGATTTTATTTTTGTGTTCATTTCTCACCATCCAAATCTATTTCATAAAAATGGAAATGCTGTACAATAAATATCAACACACTAATGAGTTGACAGTTTAAATAGTTTTATCCCTACTATCTCAAATCCTGTTGCTGATAATGTATTTTGTATGTACAGAGATAATTTGATATACGAACCACAGACCTTGTTTGAAACCCTTTTTTCCTCATCCAATTTTCCAGTACAAAGGCTTAACTCAAGACCATGGACAAGTATGCCTCTCCTAGATACAGTGGTAGTAACAAAACACAACACTGCACACTAAGCATTACTGCACTCCCCAGCCTACTACAAGTCCTGATAGAGGAGTTTGACTTCTTTAGATGCATAAAAAGTAAAGCTGGTTTAAAATCATAACTGACAGTATAAAGACAGATGGCTGAAGCCAACACAGGAACACACAAGAGCTTTTTGCTAACAAGCCAACAGGTGCTGTAGCAAGCAATTAACTAACTTTTTTTGAACAACCTAAAGGACAGTGGTATTTTCCAAAGATATTTATGCTTGTATTTCATTAAAGGGTTACAGTAACATACAGGAAGAAGGAATGCAACACAAAGGCAGCTTTAATAAAGCTGCAGCATCCAGCGTTTTCTTACTACATTCAATATATGTATTTGCTTTTAATGTTCATTGGTATGCCATTTTTCCTAATAAACATTTAATTACATTTTTAACTGTTCCTTAAGCATGCATAGAATGGCATTCCTAAATTTACCTCTGAATTAGTTACCATTTGTTCCACTGAGTCCCTCTGCACTTTCCTACTGTAACAAGGGAACCCTTTTTGGGTTTTTCTGAAGTGTTTGGAAGCAATCATACAATCGCTTTCTAAACATGCTTAATCTTATTGCCAGCACTTACTTCCACTTGTTTCAAGACACCTGCTTTCTGAAAATTATATCACAATTTATTTCAGTCCTTTCAAGGTTGGGAACCCTTGCTATTCTATTATGGTCTGTTCAAGAAGATTCAAATTCTGAGTAGCAGGATATTAAAAGCCATTTAGTTGATTTCTTATATAAATTGGTAAGGACAATCATTCATCATCTAATGAAACTATAAGAGAAGCATACTATGACATCAGAACAAGAACTACATTACTGCTTTAAAGAAAAATTCCCCAAACTTATTGTTCATTTCCCAACTACTAACTGCTAAGGTACTGCCAAGTACATTACCAAGTAAGCCCAAACCTAGTATCCTCACAAAAGAGGAAAAAAAACCCAGTACCTTTATTTAAACATTGTCAGATAAATTATAATGCACTAGCAGTAGAAACAACATCAGATTCAGGTTAGCGTTCTGGCTAACCTTGTTCAGGTTAAGCATGTTCCTGGATGCTGATGCTCTACTGTTTATCCTGATTAAATCAGGAGTGAGGAAGACCTCTAATTCCACATTAATGTTCCAATGCTCAAGTAATTCTTGATCCAACCAGCTCTAAAGAGCTTTGAGATATTTGTGTGTGAACTGAACAATATATTTAGGAGACTTCCAAGACAACGTTATATTTTAGTGAACAAAGTAATTTTCTTTCCTGATGGTTCTCTTAAAGATAACTTGCTATGATAAAAAATTCCCAAAAATAGAGTTGACACTTGGCATTTTTAGTGTCATTTCCTTTCAGAATGCCTGATGTTGCACTACAATCTAGAGACACAAGGAATATCTCAGAAAACCAGATCTAGTATAACTTATAAAAGGAAGCAAGTTGAGATCAACTACCTTTCCTGTTTTTCCTTAGAGTGGGGGGGAATGGGGAATTGAGGAAGGGTGACCTTACATTTTCCTAAAATTGCCTAAAGTAGCATCACCTAACACCATCTACATCCTGCAGTTTAAAGGAAACAAACACCAAAGAGGATCCAGTGGTGACTCCAGCACAGCACAGCAGCTACAGGAGTAGTTAACCAGGGACTTTTTGTGGTTGAAGAAGTGATAGATCCCCTTCCCTCCTACCATCAGATAGAAGGAGTAAACTTAAGGGACAAGAAAGTATGGAGGGAGGTCCCTCCTCGGAGAGGTAAGCGAAAACCCTCACAATCCCTTCCTTCCTCCCAGTTGCCCTTGAGTAACAGGTATGAGGTCTTGGAACTACAGGACCAGCTAAATGGAGATGGAGGGATAGATCCATCTAGTGAGTCACCTAGGGCTTGTCACTCACTCCCATGCCTTAGAACTTCCTCAACGAAGAAGAAGAGTAATTGTGGTGGGTGACTCCCTTCTGAGGGGAACAGAAGGGCCCATTTGTCAACTTGATCCATCCCACAGGGAAGTCTGCTGCCTACCTGGGGCTCGGATTGGAGATGTTAAAAGGAAACTCTCTGATCTGGGGCAGCCCTCTGACTACTATCTGCTGCTGGTTTTTCAGGTTGGCAGTGATGAAATTATTACAAGCAGGGCAAGGGCAATGAAGAGACTTCAGGGCCCTGGGACGGCCGGTTAGAGGGTCTGGAGCACAAGTGGTGTTTGCCTCCATACCTGTTACAAGCAAAGGTGAAGTGATAAATAGGAAGAGACTGCAGATTAATGTATGGCTATGGGACTGGTGCCAAAGGCAGGGATTTGGGTTTTTCAATCATGGGCTGCTATATGAGACACCTGGTTTGCTGGTGGCAGGTGGGATACATCAGTCCCAGAGGGGGAGGTTTCTGGGACAGGAGTTAGCAGGGCTCATTGACAGCGCTTTAAACTAGGTAGGAAGGGGGAAGGGGAGATAACTGGGCCTGTTGGGGACAAGCCCAAGAGAAACATGCTAGGGCTTGAAGAATGGCAGACTAGGGAGAACTCTCAATCTATTGTTTCATTTGAGGGAAAGGGTAGTTGTTTAAACCCTGTCCTGCAGGGGAAAAAGGGTACCAGGGCAAGAGTTAGGAGAGCTCACTCACAGAGCTCTAGGTTAGATTCAAAGTGCGAGGGGGTTGTAGCTGGGTTTGAACTAGTGGGGCAATGTTCTAGTATTAATTAAGACCAGAAGGCCTCCCGCCTTCCAAGGGTGCCACTAGCGTGCTCTGCTCACTCCCTGGAATGTCTGTACACCAATGCACGCAGCATGGGGAATAAACAGGAGGAGTTAGAAGTCTGTGTGCGGTCTAATGGTTATGACCTGGTGGCAATTACAGAGACATGGTGGGACAGCTCACATGACTGGAATGTGGTCATGGGTGGCTATGTCCTTTTTAGGAAAGATAGATCAGCAAAGAGAGGTGGTGGAGTTGCTCTTTATGTGAAAGAGCGACTAGAATGTATTGAGTTCTGTCCAGGGGCAGATGAGGAGCAAGTGGAAAGTCTGTGGGTACGAATTAAGGGACAGGCTGGTATGCGTGGCACAGTTGTGGGGGTCTATTACAGACCTCCTGATCAGGACGAAGGAGTTGATGAGGCTTTCTACAGGCAATTGAAAGCAGCCTCACGACTACATGCCTTGGTCCTTATGGGGGATTTTAACTACCCTGACATTTGCTGGAAGACTTACACAGCCAGTCATTCACAGTCTAGGAGGTTCCTCCAGTGCATTGATGATACCTTCTTAATGCAAATGGTGGACGAACCAACTAGGAGAGGAGTGCTGCTGGATCTGGTACTCACCAACAAGGAGGGTCTGGCTGAAGTAGTGATGGTCAATGGCAGCCTGGGCTGCAGTGACCATGAGATGGTGGAGTTTAGGATCTTGTGTGGGAGGAATAGAATACCTAGCAAGGCCACATTTCTGGATTTCCACAGGGCAAACTTTGGCCTCTTCAATCGCTAAGGGAAGTATCATGGCAAAGGGTACTAGGTGGTAAAGGGGCTCAAGACGGTCAGCATTCAAGGACCACTTCTTCAAAGCTCAGGATCAGAGTGTCCCAGTGAGTAGGAAGTCAAGTAGGGGAGCCAGGAGACCTGCATGGTTAAACAAGGAACTGCTGGGCAAACTTGTACGGAAAAAGAGAATCTATGGATTATGGAAGGAGGGGCTGGCCACTTGGGAGGAATATAGGACAGCTGTTAGAGAATGTAGGGAAGCAATTAGGACAGCTAAGGACTCCTTGGAACTTAATCTGGCAAGTCAGGTCAAGGACAATAGAAAGGGCTTCTTCAAATACATAGCGAATAAAACTAACACAAGAAGCAGTATAGGCCCATGAGGTGGGTGCCCTGAAGACAGAGGATATAAAGAAGGCAGAGGTGTTGAATGCCTTCTTTGCCTCTGTCTTTACTCCTGCAGACTCTCCCCGGGGGACCCAGATTCCTATAGCCCCAGAAGGAGTCAGGATAAAGGAGGAGTTTGCTTTGGTAGATGAGGATTGGGTTAGGGATCAGTTAAGTAATCTGGACATCTATAAATCGATGGGTCCAGATGGAATACATCCGCGGGTGCTGAGGGAGCTGGCGGAAGTCATTGCTGAGCCACTCTCCATCATCTTTGGTAAGTCGTGGGAAACAGGTGAGGTGCCTGAGGATTGGAGGATGGCAAATGTCATGCCAGTCTATAAGAAGGGCAAGAAGGAGGACCCAGGTAATTATAGACCGGTCAGCCTTACCTCCATCCCTGGAAAGGTGATGGAACAACTTATTCTTGACACCATCTCTAGGCATATCAAGGATGAGGGGGTCATTAAGAGCAGCCAACATGGCTTTACCAAGGGGAAGTCATGTTTGACCAACCTTATAGCCTTCTATGAGCAAGTAACTAGGTGGATGGATGATGGTAGAGCGGTAGATGTGTTTTTTCTTGATTTCAGTAAGGCATTTGATACTGCCTCCCACAGCATCCTCACAGATAAGCTAAGGAAGTGTGGGCTTGATGATCAGGTAGTGAGGTGGATCAAGAACTGGTTGGAAGGAAGAAGGCAGAGAGTTGCGGTCAATAGGGCAGAATCTAGCTGGAGGTCTGTGACTAGCGGAGTCCCTCAGGGGTCGGTGCTGGGACCAGTGCTGTTTAATATTTTCATCAACGACCTGGATGAGGGAACTGAATGTACCCTCAGCAAGTTTGCTGATGATACCAAACTGGGAGGAGTGGCTGACATACCAGAGGGCTGTGCTGCCATTCAGCGAGACCTGGACAGGTTGGAGAGTTGGGCGGAGAGGAACTTGATGAAATTCAACAAGGGCAAGTGTAGAGTCTTGCATCTGGGGAAGAACAATCCCATGTACCAGTACAGGTTGGGGGCTGACCTGCTGGACAGTAGTGAAGGGGAAAGGGACCTGGGGGTCCTGGTGGATAGGAGGATGGCCATGAGCCAGCAATATGCCCTCATGGCCAAGAAGGGCAATGGCATCCTAGGGTGCATTAGAAAGGGTGTGGTTAGTAGCTCAAGAGAGGTTCTCCTCCCCCTCTACTCTGCCTTGGTGAGGCCGCATCTGGAATATTGTGTCCAGTTCTGGGCCCCTCAGTTCAAGAAGGACAGGGAATTGCTTGAAAGAGTCCAGCGCAGAGCTACAAAGATAATTAAGGGAATGGAACATCTCTCTTATGAGGAGAGGCTGAGGGAGCTGGGACTCTTTAGCTTGGAGGAGACTGAGGGGTGACCTCATCAATGTTTACAAGTATGTAAAGGGTGAGTGTCAGGATGATGGAGCTAGGTTTTTTTCAGTGATGCCCAGTGACAGGACAAGGGGCAATGGGTGTAAACTGGAGCATAGGAGGTTCCATGTGAACATCAGGAAAAATTTCTTTACTGTGAGAGTGACAGATCATTGGAACAGTTGCCCAGGGGGGTTGTGGAGTCTCCTATGTTGGAGATATTCAAGGCCCGCCTGGACAAGTTCCTGCGTGATGTACTCTAGGTTACCCTGCTCTTGCAGGAGGGTTGGACTAGATGATCTTTTGAGGTCCCTTTCAACCCTTAGGATTCTGTGACTTTCAGTCAGCTGTTCCATATTTGACTGGACTTGCCCTTCCCCAATTGCCTGTTCATTTCAAACCCTGTTTCCCTCACAAGCTTTAGTCAAGATTCAGTTGCCAACTGATTTGTCATCATTTCTTCCAATTCAGAATATTCACTCCTACAGAATCTCATTTTCTATAGTGGTAACAAGAATGCCGTTTTCTGGTTCTAACCATCATCAGTATTATTCACATCAAACGTAACTTCCTGCTTCCAGTCCTGTAGTGCCCACCACAATGGGGCAGCTGCAGAGGAAAAGAGAATCAAGAAAAGCTCACAAGATTCATCCGTAACATAACTGAAAATTTCATTGTGTTTGGGCCTGAAGCACTGCAAGGTTTAGTGGATATAAATCAAAAAAGGAAAAACATCCAAGGAGTGGAGACCACAAAAAAAAAACCAAACCCACAACAAAACAACCATGTCTTGTTAGATAGGTACAGTTCTTCCATAGTCTTAGCACCTCCTGAATCTTCAAAAGGTCAACACTGCAAGGGATAATACGTGTTAAAATGCCTTTCACTGAGAAAAGTCCCATTTTACATGGGGTTACAACTTCAAATTTTAGAATCCTAACAGGAATTGCATAGTCTGCTCTCTTAATAACCAATAGTTACATAAGTACCTTAATTCAAAGGTATAAAATGAAGAAAATATTTGTCTATCAAGAATGAAGTGAGGCTTGAAACTGTTTCTCCTTTCATCTCTGTAAGATTCAAGCTGTGGGAGAGCCTAATTCTAGGCAGGCAGTCCACTAAGCTTTAAGTGTTGGTATTTTGAATGTGTCAGTTTGTAACTGTGTCTAACATGGAATCACTACAAGAAGTAAGATGTTACAAGCATACTTACCTGTTTGTTTTTTCTCAGAAGAATGAAGCTCTCAAATGTCTCAAACATCAGGGTCTGTTTTTGTCAAAATAATCCTATAAGATTTTAAACTTTTTTTTTATGGAGCAAGCATTTCCAGAGTGCTCCAGTGGGTAGGTGAAAAAATATTACTTAGCTTGGGAGGAGTTCCACAGTGTCCATCATTATTATTGTGAGGATGCTAAGTGAAAAGAACCCACATTTTCATCTACTCCCTCGTGCTAGGATAGTTGTTTATGCAGCTTTACAGTGAGTTGGATCAAGAGCACATGGCTCTTGCATAGGAGGAGTAGAGGGGAAAGACCTCCAGCCTTTTTAGCAGCAACATCCATTCATATAAAAATCAAGCAGCTGTGGAACCTTACATTCAGACTTTGCTTGAACCAGGCCTGGACAACAGACTGCTAACAATAGTAACAATGCAGAATCCTCTGCCCATTCATTTCTATACCGTGCTAACACAGATTTATGCTGCCATGCAATGAGCTGGATTAGGGAATAATGGTGCCTGTAACAATTCTCACTGCCTACAGGCTCACAGTGCATATGCCTCTTCAAGTAATGCTAGCCTGCATTTTAGACAAGTAGGAGAAACCACAGCACATTCTCACTCTTCTTCACAACACTCTAGCCATTTAGCAGAATGGATTCACAGCAGAAACTATTATTTCCAACTCAATTCTCAATTTCCTGGGAGTAGATTTCAGACTACTGAAGCATCCTGAGACAATAGGAGGACACTGCTCTGGTCTGTGCCCCAGTTTCATCTCATTTGCATCTTCACTGTAGTGAACAGGCTTCAGAGATGATTTAATAAAGCCACTGGATAATCACTTGTAGATCCAAAAGGGTAATTTTGTTTGTAGATGCAAAGTATTTTAATAAAAAAATTTTTTTTTTTTTTTAAAAAGGGCTTAAGGGTTCCCTTTCTTCAGTACAGATCAGTCAAAAATGCACTAGTTTTATGAAAGAGAGCTCTCTCTTTAACAGAGTGCTTGGAAACAACTGGTAGCTAGTTTTATCTAAAAAAAAACCCAGTCATCTACAGAATTAATTAGGCTTGCACAAGGCAATTTTCCTCAATTTTACAGAAACCTTGTTTGAAATTTTAACTATAAAGATTTCAGAATAGAAAACACTAATAGAGCAAGTCACACATATAGTTAAAGTCTTTTAACTACAGATAGCCCAGTTAACATTAACAAAAAGTATGTCGGAGACCCAAAGACAGTGCCAGCTGTAGACATCATGACTGAGACCAAGCCATTAGGCCTTAGTTGATGTAACTTGGCTATTTAGCATGAGGATGACTCAGCACTTTAAAACACCACCACAAGGAAGGAGCTGCCCTCCTGGTAGGGCATGATATACATTAAGTTACAATTCAGGTATGTAGGCAGCCTTGCATCTGCTTCTCTAAGCTGCTTTTAAGCAGGGACATCCCTAATGGCAAAATATGATAACAATTTGAATGAAGAACCAAGCACATAATTCATAAGTATTAGCAGTTAACCAATAATACTAAACTAAAAGGTAAACAGCTGTAAGAATCCTGATTAATACTGTGATGAGTAAATTCCTGTTTGTTAACCAAATCTTGCTTGCTTAAGAGTTACTGGAAAATTATGACACTTTGACATTTTGCTTATAGACCGTAGGCATCCGTTAAAGTGAGCAATGTATGGGGAAGGAGATAAGGAGCCTTCCTCCCCACGCCCACCGGGAGGCAGAATGAGACCCCTTATCAACTGGCCACACAGACGCAGAGTACACCAAGAAGTGACAGGTATATCGGATGAAGAAGAGTATAAAACCAGTGATTTTGGGGAAGTGGGGTGCGTGCCACTGGCGGAGCAGAGACTCCCCAGCTGCCCAGAGCTGTTTTGCTTGCTGTCGCTTGCTCAATAAACCAATTCAATTCATTGGTCTGGTTCTCGTCAATTTATTTGAGCCACATTTATAACAATACTAACCCATAGACTATCGCTGTAGCCCTAACTCAAATGCACAACAGGGTAAAAAAAAACACAGTTATGCAACTTACCAAATTGTATGAAAGTATGCTTTAGATAAAATTGTATTGAGATGAAAAGTAGGTATAAAAGAACCCCTAAGATTTACTGTTCTTTGGACACACGTATGGAGGTTTGAACCCCCACGCGCTCCTGGCACTAATAAGGGTTTCTGCTTTACTTTACACTGCGTACTGTGGAGTGATTTCTTTGAATCACATCAAAGAAAATTAGGGCATTTCCATTGTGACCTGCAGAATCCTTTCTCCCCTCGCTGTGCATATAAACACCATGAATACTCTCAAGGTTTTTCATTAAAATGCATGGGGTTGAAGTTAAACTGGTGATATTTACACAGGTCATGTTTTTCTGTTAAAAACACTTAGAACACTTAATTCAAGAGACAGTTTCATGTGCAATGATATCTGAATCAATTTTAAAAATAATTACTGCTTTCCTCTTGTTTCTCATTAAGCCAACACTGGTGCTGCAAAATTGGCAACTTCTTCCAACCAGTTTGCTCCGGAAAAAACTGCTCCTATCTAGTTCTGACAGCCTGTTGTTGCTAGTGGAAGGGAGATAGGTTAAACCAATAAGCAAGCTTATCTCAAGGGGAAACTAGCACCTACTGCCAAAATACAAATACTCAAAGCAACCACTAATCAATTGGCTAAGTTTATTAAAATCAGCATGCTTTATTTACCACCTTTTAAAATGTAAACAGGTGAAAAGCAGACAAAGATTACTAGCTGTAATTCCCCCTCTGGAAGAGTGTTACAGGCCAGTTTTTATGCTGCAGTGCATTGACTTTCTTGGAAAGCACTGCAGAGCTGAATTAAAATATTTCAGCTGCTCTGTGAAATGGTTCATTGTTTTTGCTATACATACCCAATCTTCAAACACTTCAAATATCATGTATTGCACTCCATAAATTGTAATTTTTGAAAAGGCTGACTCTCCAGCTATTCCTGAATACGTTCAGAAATGCTGAAGGGAGAGTTTATGTTCACATCCAAGGCTGTCCAATGCATTTTCTTCAACAACACAACTATAAGAAGTGTCATAATGGTAACAAAGGAAAACACTGCTGTTGTGAGATACGACAATATTCAAATACAAAATGATGAATAAGAAACTTCACTGCCTTGCAATGAACATGCTTAAACAACAATGCAATGCAGAAGCTGCCAACAATTACACCAATTGTCACTGCTGCCTGTGATGAGCATTTCTTTCATCAAAATTAAAATACACTCTTTCAAGTCCTGAAACTGTCAAGTATTTCCACCTTATATGTAATGAATTCAAGCATACAAGATGCAAGGATTTTTAAGATTCAGTTCTATGCTTGCATTGTTTTCTCTGAGCAGCCAAATATTTTTCAAGTTGCTAACATTTTGAAAGTGGGTTTAATGCTGTCTAGATTCATACATTCTACTGATATACCATTTTGCAGACACTCTAGGATCCTGCCAACAGTGCTTAAGTCCATTGTACCCATGTGCTTCTGGGACAAGTAAATTAATAACCTTTCTCCTTGAATAGCAGCATGTTAGAATGTTTTATTACTATTTATAAAAGATCACCAGGGTAAAAAAACTGCGTTGCCAGAATCTCTAGTAAGGAGATGGACCCCACCTTAAAAGAACTACACAGCTACTACTCATTTCTTTGTAGCAAGAAATGTCATGCTCTGGTCTTCATCTTTTCAAATTCTCAACTACTACCAGCTGACAGTTTAGTAGTTACAGTACAATGTGTTTATTACCAGAAATTATAGAAGAAGTACGTAAGCAGATTAACACATTTGGGCAGTTGGAATAGGTCACAAGCCAAAGAACCAAGCCTTTCTGGAAGGCACTGAAGGAGCTGGCTCCTCTTAACCCTTTGTTGAAAAGATTGCAACTATACAACATATGACACTCTTCACTATTTAATAGAATCATAGACCAGTTAACAGTTGGAAAAGACCTTAAGATCATCTAGTTCCAATCCCCCTGCCATGGGCAGGGACACCTCACACTAAACCATGCCACCCAAGGCTTCATCCAACCTGACCTTGAACACCACCAGTGATGGAGCATTCACAACCTCCCTGGGCAACCATTCCAGTGCCTCACAGTAAAGAACTTCTTCCTTATATCCAATCTAAGGATAAGTTTCACCCACTTACTCCATTTAGCCCCAGATACCATAAAGTTCCCATCAACACTGATCAGATGTGAAGGTAAAAAAATCAAAAGCCTTAAAAAAACCGAACATCTAAGAATCTGGACCACATTGAGGGAATTAAGTTGGAAGCAGTAGGGGGAACAACATTAGTAACAGGCTTTACTCAAGAGTATTTCAATAGAAATATCCCAAACAGGATAATGCAATGAAAGGCTTTTGACTGGCTCATGTTTCTCCCTCTCTTTTGAGTGCTCAGATGCACGCTTGCAACCTGTTCTTTCACAAGTCTCCTCCCATTCTCAATATAATCACTGCCCAGTAACTGGAAATTACCTATCAGGAGTTAG